TGAAAAGTTAATTTTGAATTAACTTGTCCCTTCAATGATGATTATTATTCTACAAAAACACAAATACTACCATAATCAACCATATAAAGCTCGTATTGAGGGAGAACATTGACAGAAGATATAGAAGCAGGTTTACCAATAATTTTATATGCTGAACATTTAAATTAAAAAAAATTGTATTGTGTTCCATGGATGTTAGATTTTCTGCATTTTCTATGACTTAAAGTTGTTTACAATTATTTTTGTATAGGTTGGAGAACTGTTGCACCATTTGTTTACATTGTTGCAAACCAGTAGTATGTGCATACCTGAAAACAAAATTCAGAGCATGGATGAAACATGTGTGATTTCCTACAGCATGCAATAATAATTAGAATGAGGATGAAGATTTTTTAATTTGATATCATGGGTATTACCAGTAACTGATATCATGGTGTAAAAACTAAAACATGTGAACATGAACATGTGATTCCTTTTAACCAATAAAGGGCTTAGTTGCTAACATCATTAGTTAAATCTGGTCAATGTCTCTTAAATGGGAAATTATAAATTTATTTTTTTTGTTCATATTATACAGCATCTCCACAAAACCCTTTCAGAGCCATAAAAGGACTTTGGCAGTGATTTTACAAAATATTTCAAAATTTCTGTTTGAAAAGTAAGCTTCCTCAGTAATTGCAAGGGGAAAACAAACTATTGAGTTATCGAGGAATTATTACACACAGAAAACTTTTGAATTAAATTTGTCCCAAACAAAGCACAACATTGGATTGGCAGTGAAAGGGTTTGAACGATAGTACACAGCGCCCTCATTTGACGAGCTACAAGAAAAATCTTCAAGGTGTCACTAATTTGCATAAATAATCTAAATCTGAACTCATGGTGGCGCTGTTTACTCCACGTATTTTTCTCAAGAGACCAATTCCTTTTTCTTCGCTTTTTCTTTTAGTTTTAGTTCTTCAAAAAATTTAGAAACTCTTCTGCGGTCAAAGGAACCAGCAAAATCTATGGCTGTCTTTCCAAATTCATTTTTCACATGAACATCAGCGCCCTTTTGAATCAGAAGCTCTACAAGTGACAGGTGGCCATTTAATGCTGCAATCTGTGAGAAAAAGAACAAATCAATGAGATTATTAAAGTATGTCTGGTAGCATGGCTAAATATCTACCCCTCTCTGTCAAGCAGACCTTGATGTAACTCTGAGACATAAAAAAGAAATGGCTCAGGGTTCTCCCCAGGGCATTCCCAACTATTACTGTGAAATACTTTATTTTCGCTTTGAAGTAATTTTTACTATTTTCGCTGAAGGAAAGATTCAGTGAAAATAAAATCCAGCGAACATACCTTTTTTCCTATATTTTACATTCAACTCGTCAAAAATCAGTGAAAATATATTCCACACAAAAGGCCCAAAAAGTCGTTTCAGCAAAAATTAATTCCAGCTAAAATAAAGTATTTCACAGTAAATATTACACTGTCATGCAAATTAACTATTTTTCCTGGGGAGACACTGAAGTCTGGAACCCTAAACTGGGACCATGAATTAACAGCATTAGAGAACCTACATACCATAAGTGGTGTTTTGCCATCATTGTCTTTTGTATTTACATTAGCTCCAGCATTGATTAGTGTTTTAGCTACCTCTGTATTACCACCAAGTGTGCATGCTCTCATCAACGGTGACCAACCAGAATTTCTATCTCTGATATCCACCTGTAAGAAAATGGATTGACATTTACAGTGGGTCTGATCCATCTAAGATATTATAAAACAAAAATATTTATAAACTTTTATAATATTCAAATTTAATATATAAATTATTTAAGGATTTATGTAATGCACTGTTGAATAATTCCTGTGACATCATTTCCAGTTTTCAGAACCGACAAAGATATTTTTCAAGGATTTCTGAGTTGGTGAAATAGGCCACAAATCACATACATAATTAGTGACTCATTATTATCACACTGGAAAACAATGCGTGAAAATTTAACACAGGGAAAAAAATTGGCATGAATCATGCAATCGCATGTCCTGGATGACACACTGCATGTACTATGGAAAACTAATGCATTTGAAAATGAATATACAAGATTTTTTTCTTTGAACCTTTCAATGTGCAAATCAACAATTTTCCCCCCTTCTCCAACGGAGTTCCAAATAGTCAACCCATAAGCAGTTTTAAAGCATAAATTGCCTATTAAGTAGTAATATAAATACAAACCTCATTTTTTAATATTATTAAAATGAAAATGGATGGAGAGAACTGATTTACATATTTTACTGTACACACTTTTAAAAGAAGAAGAAGGAAATAAATTACTTACAGGGCATCCATCTAATATAATCCATCTCAACAATTGTGTATTAGCACTGTCAACTGCCCAATGCATAGGAGTAGAGCCACCTTTATCACGTACATCCCACTGAGCACCATGTGATTTCAATAGCTTTACAACTTCAATATGACCAGCAAAGCAAGATAACATCAAAGCATTTTTTCCACTGTCATTCTGGAAGTTTACATCAGCCCCATATTCTATCAGCAGCTCCACAATACTGTAAAGGGACAAGAAGATTTGGCTGCTAATGTACTATGTAAATGTATATCATCAGCACTTGAACTAGTCTTGCAATTAACACAAGCATGTTTATTAATATTAAAACGGGAGGGTCATCACCTGCGCACGTGCAAGAATCCAGTCCCAAGCGGCGATAACACTTGCGGAAAACGCAAAGGCTCATGGGTAGATGCGCGTTTGTAAACAATGACACGCTATGGCCATCTGACGCATGCGCAGGTGACGACTCTCCCGCTTTAATAATCAACAGTGGCACATTTGTTATATCAGAACTGGATTAAGATTAAGCAGTCATGTTCCTTTTTGTGCGTTCCATTATGCTTTATTGTGATTGGTCATTATAACAATCACGCCCTAGACCCTGATTAAAAATGTAGAGCATTGAGCAGAGTGCAAATATTTAAACGTCTTCAAAAAAGCTGTGTTCATAGCCTGTGGCAAATATTGATGTCCATAACTTCAGTAATAACAAACAAATCTCCCAATCAAAAATACAGTAAAACATTATTAATTTCTCAAAAGACAATTTATCACAAATTTGCAAGTCAGGAAGACCACAAAATTTAGTTTCAGTGAATATTTCATGTAGATATTGTGACTTGATGTCATTCACAAATTTGTATAAACACATGCACCCTTAAAGTGCTACTGATGGGTTCCATGTGGCAGAGACAATGCTACGATTGTTGACATTGATATAGAAGTGACAATTTACAGGCACTTACTTGAGATATCCTTTTTGTGCAGCACTCATCAGTGGACTTAGTCCATACTTATCAGGTACATCAACTTGAACTTCTCCGCTGTCAAGAATGTGACGGACTTTAACTAGATCTTCCTGATAAGCAAATGCTCTATGAAGATGTTCACCTGTCAATGGCTCCCCTATAAATCAAACATACTTATAATATTGAAACCCTGCCTTTGTGAGAATTTTAGACAAAAGGTGATCCCCAACTATACTGCTCATTGAATTATATATATTCAAATGTACAAGGGTTTTCATTAACAGGGAAGTTAAATACATTTTTATACAAAAATGTTTAAAGTGGGGGTGTCATCACCTGTGCATGCGACAGTCTGCCGAAGAATGTCATTGCTTACAAACTAGCATCTACCCATGAGCCTTTGCCTTTGCATTTGTAGCGTACATGCTTGTAATCGTTGCTTGGGACTCAATTCTCGTGCGTGCACAGGTGACGACCCTTCGCTTTTACTCCTTCAATGCCATATTTTTTCCTGTCAAATTGGCAGTGCACAATATTTAT